CTCAAAACTCTTTCCTATGTGCACTTGAAAAATATTACAGACTTTCTAAAACTCTTGAAAACATCTGAATTTTCTAGAGTAGAGCTTGAAAACTTCAGGTGTAAAATACATCATCTTTCTAGACTAGGACATATTAAGAATATGTAATTACCATAGGATATAAGGAAGGTAATGTGGACAGAGCAATAAGGATGTTTGCAGACCAGCTGTGTGGCTTTGGGCAAGTAAAGCAACTTGTTAGAGTCTCAACTTTTTCACCTGTAAAAAAGGATGTTATTATCATTATTATTTACCTTGAAGGACTACTGTTAAAATTAAATAAAGTGATATAAATAAAACCTAGAGCATAGTGTCTGGCCCTGGTCACTGGAGGTTAGAGCCCTTCCCCTTCTCAAGCTATGATGGCTTCGATTATGTGGAGACAAAGAGAAACACAAAGGACAGAGCCCTAGTTTGTTCAGAATGGCTCAAATGGAGCTGCCCTTTGAGGCACAACATTAATGCTTGAAAAGGAGCTTTTATTAACTTAATACTGATAATTTCTTTCTTTCCACCTCTTCTTTCACTTGGGAAAGGGAGATAGAAGAAGTGGAGTAAACAAAAGATTAAATCCCCAGGTGTCCTCTGCCTCCCAGGTGTGTGATAAGATAGAGTCCCAGGGCTTAAATGCCAGAATGGTAAATGTCATGAACAAAGGATGTTTCAAGTGGCTGTTGGAGCTACAGTTCTGTTTCATCCATGAGTTGGATACTTCCTTTCTCCACAGTTTTCTTCATGACCCAATAGTCTCTAGTATTTTCTCAACAACTTCAGCATCTCCCCTTTTGTCTCTTTTTATTTTTGCTCTGTTGAAAGTTGAAGAAATCCTAGGAGTTGGAGGCATAAGAAACTGGAGGAATGTGCCCAACCCATTGGGTCCAAGTTTTCAGGACTCACATTTCACTCAGTAATGAGTTCCTCAGCATCAAAACTGCGCAGAGAGCTCCTGGTCCACCTGCTTGCTCCCTACAGTAGTCTCTCTCACAAGACAATGAGACTCTATTCATTCCTTTTAAATCTGAACCCACTGGCTTCATCTCACCCCACCCCTCCCACCACCCACCACACTGCTCTCTATTCACCCCAAAGGAGACCCCAGCTCTGATTTCCAATGTACTCGTATCAGCACAACTGCCCCTGGACCCCAGAACAGCATTGCTTCTCCTGTCACCTCCTGTGGGACACTGTCCCATCTCACCAGCTATTTCCACAGTTCCTCTGGCTGTCTAGGACTGTCGCTTCTTCATTTCTTCTCTCATGGCAGGCATGAGCACACAGCTGAGCTGCCCTATCTAACTCTCTGCCCTTCTGAGGCAGAAATGTCTGAAAATTTCCCTTCCCCTTATCTGAGAAATGGGTACATTGGGATGGAGTTTGAGCAGATGAATTTGGGAGTTTCAGATGCTATTATCCCTGGAAATTAAGGAAGGGACCTGAGAGTATCTGATCCTCAGGAGGAAGTGGGGCTGGCCTTATGGATGGGGATGAGGAGGCTGGGAAATTTTAACATAAACAAATTCACCATTCTATCACTAATGGTTTCTTGGTGGTGAACTGGAACTAGAAGAGGCCATTTCCTGTTTTTCACTTCTTCTCTGGTCCTGTCCTGATGTGCCCTGATCCAATTCCTAATGTGAGGGACAGTCAGCTGCAACTGGTATCCTGTCGGCCTTAACCACAGCTTGTCATCACCCTCCTCTGCTGCTCTGGCCATCACTGGTCATGGAATGGGGTTCCTGCCTGATTCTGTGGAAGGGGCCCCTACCTGGAGCACTGATTCTACAGAGTGATCTTCAGATCTTGGACAATGCAGACTAACCATAATTTCCCCTTTCTGATCTTTGATGGATGTTGAGATGTCATTTTGATGACCCTTTTGTGAGAACTTTGCCCCTCCAAAATCACTCCAGACCACCAGGTACCATCGTCCCCATCACATGCACACCCTGATCTCTTTCTCTCTCTGCTGAGAATAGCAGCCCCTGCATGATGTCAGAGCCCTAAAGCCTTTCTCAGGGAGTGAGCCCACATGGAAAGCCCCCTAAGGTCATTCCCCTGAGCTGGATCCTCCAAGAGGAGCAGCTCTGCACTTACCTGGGGTGTCTCTGCTCTGAACCAAAGGGGAGCTTAGCATCACCAAGAACATCATGAGAGCAGCCATCCCTGGGACCCCAGTGATCCTCGGGACCACCATCCTGGAACTTGAGAAAGGATGGGGACTGAGAGACTTGCAGTCAGAGCAGCTCTCACTCAATGGGCCTCACTCCTAAAATATCAGAGAAGATGAGCTTGGGCAGCCTTCCTTATCCCCGGGTGTGACCAGATTCTGAAAAATGAACCAATAAACAGGAATTGTCACTCATCAGACAGAAGTTTGGTGTAAAACACATGATTCTTTAAGGTGTAAGATTCACTGAAGACAGTATAAGGAAAGGGATCCTCATTTTGAGCAACTGGGTGAGTCATAAGTCTTGATTGTTTTATATACTTTCCTCCCTAGGAACAGATCCCAGGGAATGTCATTCCTTCTCCATGGTGAACGCCATCCCCCTTGCACAGACATGTTCTGGGACAGAGCAAGTCCTAAACAGTGTGTTAATGACTTGGGGGAGATTAGACTGTCCATCCCAGAACTCAGAATTAGCCCTGGGAGCTGTACAAGCGGTCATGCAAAATATGCGGTGTATATCTTTTCCTCTCAGTGGTTCTGTAGCTCTTAGAAGAAGAAAGGATATGGACTAAGGGTCTCTGGGTTTCAATACCAGATAAGGCATGGAAGTAGGTGTACAACTTTACACAAATTACTTGTCCTTTCTGGGCCACCATTTCTTCATTTTTGAAATGGGGACGGTAGCACCTGCATATCAGTAATTCTTGAGGGTGAAATGGGAGCACCCGTGTAAAACGCTTTAGAAACTTACAGATCTGAGAGTTTTGAGTAGATCAATGAAGTTATCAGGGACCATCCTTTTTTTTTGCAATTCAACATATGTATATATTTTTGGTAACTTTTAAACACCAGATAGTCCCAACAAACAATACAGATAGTTCCTGAAATGAGGTAAATATACTCCCCCAGAACACACAACCTAAGGAAGACAATAACAAAACAAATACAATTTACAGCAAATATATTAAGTACTTATATAAAATGTTGATGAATTGAATAAAAGCATATAAAAATATTTAATTTAAGTTTTCTATTAGGTACAAAGATGCATTATAGAGAAGTGGTCAGGCACAGGTTTAGAAAGCCCTTTTCTACTACTTCCAGACTTTTTTTTTTAACCCACTGTGACTTATTTCCTTTCATGTAGAATGGAGATTATTATGTCATTGGTTTTGGGAAATCTAATTGGGATGATACTCAGAATTTGTGAATCTCTTAAAACAAAGCCTTGCACATAGTAAGGAATCAAGAAATGTTAATTATTATAATGCAGGACACTTTATCCAATACAACATATTATTTAATCCAATAATATAAATTCTATAATTTTAACAATAAACACACACAGAGGAATTTCTGCAGTTCCCCCCATCCCTTTGGTGTAGTTCCAAACCCCTCTGTAATAAAACAGCATATCAGCTAAAGATCTACCATTAGACTTAATGTGAAATGATTAGGGAAATTGTCCTTAATGGTAAGGTTTAGAGGCGCCTGGCTGGCTCAGTCCATAGGGCATGTGACTCTTGATCTCAGAGTCCTGAGTTCGAACCCCATGTCGGGCATGGAGCCTACTTAAAAAACAACAACAACAACAAACCAGTGAGATGTAAATAAAGATGCCTTATATCACCAAATTCTGTATAAGAAGAAATAAAAGAACAATAATTAGAAATGAAACAATTAGCCATTTTTTGCCTTCTATTTATCTGCCTGGGAACATCAAAGAATTCCTGTAAAATTATCAAAGGTATAAAATGGTAAATATAATATCATTTGATAACAAATGAATTACTTTAGGATACTAAGAATCAACATGAAGGGGCCCCTGGGTGGCTCAGGCGGTTAAGGGTCTGACTCTTGATTTTGGCTCAGGTCGTGAGATTGAGCCCCAAGTCAGGCTCTCAGGTGCTCAGAGGGGAGTCTGCTTGAGTTTCTCTCCCTCTGCCCCTCCCTCCACTCAAGTGCACATGCTCTCTCTCTCAAATAAAGAAATAAATAAATCTTAAAAAAAGGAATCGATGCAGAGAAAGACAATTATCATACGGTTTCACTCATATGTGGAGTATAAGCAATAGCACAGAGGACCATATGGGAAGGGAGAGAACATGAATGGGAAGAAATCAGAGGGAGACAAACCGTGAGAGACTCTGGACTCTGGGAAACAAACTCAGGGTTGCAGAAGGGAGTGGGGTGGGGGGATGGGGTAACCGGGTGATGGGCATTAAGGAGGGCACGTGTTGTGATGAGCACTGGGTGTTACACGCAACTAATGAATCACTGAACACTTCATCAAAAACTAAAGATGTACTATGTGTGGGCTAATTGAACTTAAAAAAAAAAGGAATCGACATGCAGTTTTGAAAAGTTATCCATTCACAAAGGTCACTACCCATAGAAAACACAAAATCAACTTCAATGACATATTTCAAAAAAATCTCATTAAGAGGAAGATTATTTGATTTGATCTTTTTATTTTAAGTAGGCTCCACACCCAACATGGGGCTTGAACTCATGACTCTGAGATTAAGAGTTGCACACTCCACCTGACTGAACCAGCCAGGAGAGGAGGAAGATGGTTATGATGTCTCTATTGTGGTTTTCTTCCTCTTATTCTCAGATCCCACATAGATTGGGACTTTCTGGGCCACCTTGGTCCTGACAGCTCTCCCACCTCCTCTCCCAGTGGTTCTATTAGTTTCTTTCCCAACCAGAGATACCCCTTCTGACATTTGCTGGCTGGCTGAGCCCCATTGAGCTATTTCGCCTCCACCCCTTCTCCTTCCACCAGATAGGGAAATAAGTCCTGGACTCAGAGCTCCCTGCCCTGCTCTGCCTCATTCTCTCCTCACTTTCTGCCTCACGGCGGCCACTGCAGATGCACCTGGAAGACATAAGGAGCCGGACCCAAGTCATGATCCTGGGAGCCATCGCCCTGGCTGCCCTGCTGAGCCCCCATGGAACTGGGGCCGTCACGGGTGAGTGCTCGGGTGGGCCAGAGGGGGTGGGGACTATAAGGAGATTTGTAGCCCATGGGTGCTGTTTTCTCTCCCATTTCTCTTCTTTCTTCTTTTTCTCTCATGTGAGGTCTTTTGCTTTTTGTCTTTCTGACAACAGGAAAAAGCACTGTTTATCAAACACTGACCAAGTGCCAAATCTCATTTCATTTTCACAGCAGTCTTTTCAGGAGGGTGTTTATTACTCTCATTCTAGAAATGAAAAGACTGAGACCTGAAGAGATGTCTCCTGAACCCCATGTCACTGCGCCATGGCTCTGCATCCTCTGGAGAGCGTCTCTCTCTGTCGCTCTTAAATTTCAGAGGCAAACTTCTTGAAATTGGAGTCTGAAATTCCTGTTTTTTACTTTCTTCTGCTGCATTCAGTCCTCAGCCCACTGCGTTCTCCCTTTTGTTTCCTCACATCTCTGCTGATGCTTTCAGTGCGGCCACTAGTGGCCTCCTTACAACCAAGACCAGTGGTCACTTCTCTGTATATCTTACCTGTGTCACTAGTAATATTTGCAACATGACCACTTCCTCCTTCCTGGAATTTTTCTCTTGTTCTTTGTCTTTGAGGAGCACACATACTCCTTGTTTTCTTCCTACTCGTTAGTCCTCTCCTTTTCCTCATCTTTCTCAAAAAATTTATTTAAGTGATCTCTACACCCAGCATGGGGCTCGAACTCACAACCTGGAGATCAAGAGTCACCTGTTCTTCTGACTGAGCCAATCAGGTGCCCCCAGCATCCTTTCTTAAACGTCCGTGTTTGTCAGGATGCAGGACCACACACTCTAACCCTGCTATGATGACTTTGTACAGTTCTTGGGTGACCCAATTCAAGCTTATAACTTCATGTACCATGTGGACTCCTAGCGTACATCACTAGCCCAGTCTAGCCTGAGATCCATCCATTGTTTCAACTGCCCTCAAGTCAACTCCACTTTGTCCCCCAGAAATTCAAACTCATTATGTCCTCAAAAGAACATTTTATCTTCTCTCACTTCCTTGTCCTTCATTACTTTTCCTGTCACTGACACCACAATTCTCCACATTGCCTGGGTATTCTGGACTCCTTCATATCCCTACTTCTGCCATGGCACTTAATGATTCCTGTGGCTTCTCATCTCTTCACTGCCATTCAAATCCATCCTCCCTTCTCCTTACCCTGCGTTACTGTCCCATCTACACCCTCATCACTTGCCACTTGCTTGCTGAAGAGTCCTACTGGTCTTGCTTGCAAATGAGCCGCTTCCAATCTATCTTCCCTACAAATGCCACCTTCAAGTATAAATCTTATCCTCTTGATTAAGATCCTTCAGTGATTTCCCTGGGGCTGTGGATCAAATTCAAACACTTGCAATTAGCACACAAGGCAGGTCCCAGTGTAGCCCCTCCACACCCTTTGAGCTTCAGTCGTATCCAAGGACTCTTGAGTCCTCCAAGAAGTCCCATGCCTCTCTGCTCCTATGTCTCCTGCTAGAGACACCACTTCCCTCTATTTCTGCTTCGCTACCTCACATAGAGACCATTTCTAGGAAGCCTTACTTCAATCTCATTTTAATGCTCTCCTTTTGCTCCCAAATAGCATCTGAGTACACCTTGTGATAACACAGCAGTGATGAAACCACTTACATACTAATTGTCTTTTCTTTGTCTTTCTCGATTTCAAGTAGCTTGAGGATAAGGACCATGTCTTCTGAGTTATATCCTTAAGTGCCTGCGGAATGAAGGTTCACAATAAAGGCTTTTTTGACTGAATGAAAATGAACATTCGTAAGAGTGTAATTTGCTTCACAATGCATAGGCCTTTAGTTTTAAGAATTTGCAAAAACAATAAAAATGAGATATCCTAAGGTGAACAAATGATGTCCATGTAGCCAGATCTGTACTGTTGTTGTTTTTTTTTTCTTTTTCTTTCATCTTCTTTTCTGTAGGTGAGTGATTTTCCCCAAGCATTCATGTGAGACAATGAATCCTGTCACTAGAAGCGTCCAAGGAGAGGATTAGTTCTCCACGCGTTGGAGCTGCAGGGCAGATCTTCGATTCGGGAGTTGGACAAGCGGGCCCCAGAGTATCACTTCCTCTTAGTTCCTTTCCTTTTCTCAGCCCCAAACTCTCATTTTTATTGTTTTACTGTAATACTAATAGCTTTTTTCTGTTGTCAATCTTTCTTTCTCTCTCTTTCTCTCTCTCTTTCTTTCTTTCTCTCCTTCTTTCTTTTGGAAAGGGTAGACTTTTAATAACTGCTTTTATCACCAGGTTAAGTCATGCAGTTACAAAGTAGTTAGAAATTTCTGAAAGGATTTTTTAAAAATTAAATTAAATTAAATTTTTAAAAAAGATTTTATTTATTTATTTGACAGAGAGACATACAGCGAGAGAGGGAACACAAGCAGGGGGAGTGGGAAAGGGAGAAGCAGGCTTCCCGCGGAGCAGGGAGCCCGATGCGGGGCTCGATCCCAGTACCCTGGGATCATGACCTAAGCCGAAGGGAGCCGCTTAACGACTGAGCCACCCAGGCACCCCAGGATGTTTTTTTTTTAAAGCTCATTCTTACATAAACAATATCTAGTACTTCATTGGGACACCACTGTTTAAACTTTTGCTGCTTCTTACACATCAGGTAAAACTAAGATGCTATCCCATAAGTGTTTCAAATCCAACAACCTTTATTTCCAGGGGAAATTACCTTTAAGAGCATAAAGTCCACAAGAAAATTTGTGAATGTTGTGTGAATGATAACACTTTAAAATTTGATTTACCTTAAATGAAGGTGTTGTGGACAAAATTACATAATCTACCATTTTTACTCTAAAGCTAAAAAAGTAACTAAAAGTCTATAAATGGCACCAAGAATCATCTTTTCATTTCCTTCAAAATTTAAAAGATTTTCCACTCTGAAAGATTTTTATTCCATTCTCCCCTCCCCCCACCTCACTCTGTGGCTTTATCACTAATTTTATATGTCTGGTCCTACAAGGATTCTGAGATATTATGTATGTGGGTGGGGAGATGATTCAGTCTTGCTTTTACCAGGAGCCGTGCTACCCTGGGCCAGTTACTTAACCTCTGTGGGTATGTCCCTAATATGCAAAAGAATGCTTTACGTGGGGGTGTGAAGATGCAAAGAATAAATTGAACACATAGTAAGTTCTCCATAAATATTACCTTATTATTGTGTTCAGTGTGATTGTTATTGTGCTGGAGTGATGGATGCTTAAGTTTTTAGGAACAAGGGAAACAACCTGAATTCTCAGTAAGTCATTTCTTTCATAGTTTCTTCCCATTTCTTTTCTTTCATTTTGCATTTCTCATTTTCTGTGTTATTCATTCATGTTATTACTGTTTTCTTCCTGTGTTCTGTTTACTTTCCTACATAATCACCTGTTCTCCAATCTCCCTTCTTCTTCATGCAGTGGGCCACATGTCAATGTATGCCGAGTTTGTCCAGACACACAGACCCTCTGGGGAGTACATGTTTGAGTTTGATGAGGATGAGCAGTTCTATGTGGACCTGGATAAGAAGGAGACTGTCTGGCATCTGCCAGAGTTTATTCATGCCTTTGACTATGATGCTTGGAGGGGTATTGCTGACATTGTCGGGTCAAGGAAGAACCTGACTACCCTGATCCAATGGTCGAACCACACCAGGGCCACAAATGGTACTGCTTGCTCTTGCTTATTTTTCTACCACCCAACTGTGGAGATGGGAGAGCCCCTCTGCTACATAGAGAATGGGAGACTCAGATGTCCACTCATGAATGAACGTCTGCTCATGAGTGAGCAATATTCAGTCCACAAAGCTTGGTGCTTACGTCATCAAAGGAGTCATTTTCTTCTATTCAAGAACAAGGTTGGGCTGGGGGAGGCCAGTCAGGAGCATGACGAACCATGACTTTGATCTAGAAGCCATGGGTGGGGATGGGGGCAAAGTGTCAGCATGAGAGAGATGGCCCCTAACCTGGAGAATATAGGGGTTAGGATGGTGGAGACCTTTGAGTTCAGCCAAAGGTAGCAGACTTACCAGGTCCTGTCCCTTCTCATAGCCATCTGAGGTGACTGTGTTTCCCAAGGAGCCTGTGGAGCTGGGACAGCCCAACACCCTCATCTGTCATGTGGACAAGTTCTTCCCACCTGTGCTCAATGTCACATGGCTGCACAATGGGCAGATGGTCACCGAAGGTATAGCTGAGACCATCTTCCTGCCCAGCACAGAATTCAGATTCCACAAGTTCCACTACCTAACCTTCCTTCCCACGGCTGAAGACGTCTATGACTGCAAGGTGGAGCACTGGGGCCTGGACCAGCCGCTCCTTCAGCACTGGGGTATGGAGCCCCGACCCTTTGCCAGCACTGTCCTGACACCATCTTTATTTCCAGGATCCATCTCTCTGCAGCACCTGCTTTCCTTAATCTCGCGTGTCTTATAGTCACTTTATCCAAACTTCACCGGTGATCTCACGCTTCCTAACTCTTCATACTCCTACACCTGAGACCAGCTCCTGCTCTCTGTGCCTTCTAATTCTGTCTTTCCTTTGTGCCCCAGAGGCCCAGGAGCCAATCCGGGTGCGTGAGACGAAGGAGACTGTGGTCTGTGTCCTGGGCCTGGTGGCAGGTATGGTGGGCATCATCACTGGCATCATTGTCCTGAAGACCGGGCGGCCCGACAGCATCCCTGGGTGCAGGGGCTCCTGTGAGTTATCTGAGAGCTGGTACCAGGGACATGGTGCAAAAAAGGAGGCAGCCCGGTATGGGTGGTGGATGGGAAGGAGAAACACTTCAACAGGGGTTCTTTGAGCACTTTGTATTGCAGAATCACTGACTAGAGGAAAACAATACCATGATAAAGAACATCAGTTGAGTTGCTTACTACTTACCAGGCACTATTCTGTATGCTTCATATGTATTCACTTACTTATGTCTGGAGGTTGGTACCATTATTTCCCATCATACAGAGGGGGAAGCAGACATGAAGAGGGGTGAAGGAGCCTGTCCAAGGTCACACAGCTTGAAAGGTCCAGAGTCTGGATTTGAACTCAGGCCTTGGGGCTCCAGAGGCTCAGTCTTATCCAATGTGTAGATTATATATATCATCTGCAGTCATTTTATCTCTCCCTGACAATCTTCATAACCTTGATTTTCTTCTGTTGTCATAGTGATGTCCATGAACCTCCAATACTGTGTTAAACATTTGTAATTATAAAGGACATCCTACCTTTTGCATAATCTCAAAGGGAATGCATTTAATTTCTCCATAAATATATTTGCTATAGATTTTTGGTTAATAACCTTTACATGTGATAAAATTGATCAAATTGTTTATGCACTTATTGAGTTGAATTCTGTTGAAATTAATATGAATGTTCTTGGTCTACTGATTTTTTTTTTTTGATCATATTATTGATTTTCTGACTTTGTGACTTCACTGCATTCTTAGGTGTTTTGTGTGGTCTCAGCCTATCCATGGTGATACCATTCAGCTAGGAATGCCTGGGGGCACTCATCTGGGTCACTACCACTTGTGGTAGACATTTCCCAGACAGGCCCTTGTGGTTCTTGTGACTGCAAGACACTCCTCAGCAACAACCATCAGGGAACTTTGAAAAAAACAAGATTTATTAGCTTATTACTCACAAGTCCTGGAGGGTACATGGCCTGTCCAAAGCCACACAGTGAGGTTGTGGGGGGTGGGAGAGACCTGGGGATCTGCCATTATTGGGGTTGAGGAAGGGGTGCCTCAGATTTCACAGGGCCACTCTCTTTGGTGAATTTAAAATGTAAGAACTGGAATTAAAGTGCAGGAAGGGAAAAGCAGGGTCACTCAAGCAGTCTGTTATTGTTATCTAGGTCACCCAGGGCTTTCTAAAAGGGGAATTTCATGGGGCGGGGGGAGGGCAGCCGGGCTCTTTATTCTTTATCTAGTTGTATATCAGGCAATATGTGTCTTTTCGATGGATATCTTTGAGATGGATGCATTGGCAATCAAAAACTTAATGTCAGGCACTTACATTACAATAAAATAAACTAATAGTCATGCACTTACACTATCCTAGTACAAATCTTATTTGATCGAAATGAATCATGCTTGTAATATATTGTTGGATTCAGTGACATGGCTGACATTAATCCATAATTTTCTTCTCCTGTACTATCCTTAGCTGGCTCTGAAGATAAAGATGCACCAACCTTATAAGATGATTCAGAAAGCTTTTGTTCCTTTCTGTGTTCTAGAATGACATGTATAAGAGAGGAATGATTTGTTTTTGAAATGTCCTAGCTGCCATGTTAGGACAGGGACTGTTGGAAGGTGTTCTTTGCTTTCCAAGCTGGTGTCTTCGATGCTCATGACTCTATTTCAGGTTTCTATTACTTCCTGTAGTTTTGACCTTTTTATCTTTCTAGAAATGTATCCATCTAATCTAAATTTTCAGATTTATTGGAATAGAGTTGATCATAACAAACTTTTTTTCATTTAAAAGTGTCTGTGTATATAGTCCTTTTTCCTTTTCATTCTGAATCTCCTACATTTTCCTTAACAGTTTTGCCAGATGGGTCTGTCAGCCTTTTAAAACTTTCCATTGAATCAAACTTTGATTTTGTTTATCTTCCCTATTTTTTGTTCTCTAGTTCACTGAATTCTGTCCTTGTCTTTATTATTTACATTTTTTTTTCTTTTGCTGTTTTTCTGCTTTCCCATTCTCTTAATGGAAATGATTAGCACATTCGTTTTCAGGCTTCCTTTCCTAATATATTTGTTTAAAAGCTAGATGTTTCTTTCTAGGCACTACTTTTGATATACAGGTTTTCACTGACTACTAAGTGTTCCGTCATTTATAGTTTCATTCATATGGTTATTTAATTGTATATTTGAGGTATATGGAGTTCATTTGTTTATTTTTTTTCATCAATTTAGAATTCAATTGCATTATGGCCAAAGAACATATGTGATATTAATTTGAACACACTGAGGCTTTCTTTGTGGCTTAATAAATGTTGTTTTCAGAAATGTGCCATGTATGCTTGAAAACAATGTGCATGTTGTTGGCTGTGGAAATCTCTATGTAGTTATCTGAGCCTTTTACTTGTATTATTAAGATCTTCTATATCTTTGTTTATTTTCTTTTTGCTTCTGCTCTTAGTTTTTGAGGATATGTTAAAATCTGCGGTTTAATTTGAAGATTTTCAATTTTTAGAGTCTTTCTCCATTTATTTCTGTCATGTGTTGCTCTTGTATTTTGAGGTTTTATTTTCAGAAGAATATATGTTCATGTTCATTATAGTTTCTTGCTCTAGTTTTTTCACTCGCCTTTAATTCTCTTTTGGCAGATGTGAGATTTGTTATGTCAGTTATCTTTGTTTACCTGCCTGAAGTGCCTTTTTCCATTATTTGGTTTTTGACCTTTCGATATTCATTTATTCTGTGTGACTTTGTTAGACTGTGTTGAAGACACAATCTGAGCTTCTCTTCTTTTTAATTGGTTGTTTAGCTCATTCAATTTATTGCAATTCCTATTATATTAAAAATTTACTATCATATTATTAAAATGTTTATTTAATATACTTTATTCTTGTTCATTTTTCTCATCTCTCATTCCTAAAGGCTAGGCCAAATTCTGTTACTATAAAAGTTGTAGTTTCTAATTATACTCATAAAATGGCTTATCTTAATGCCCTTAATTACATTGATTAAAACACTGATAAATCCCTTTTTCTTCCTGCCTCACAAAAGAGACAAGCACTTTGCAGTATTTTTCATTTCTCCCTATTATCACTAGCTAGCATCTTCTTTATGTTAATATTAACTACATTTTTAGTTTTTTTTGTTTTAAACACTTTTTTCTTACTTTTTTAAAAAAGATTTTATTTATTTATTTGTGTGTGAGAGAGAGAGAGCATGCACAAGCAGGGGGAGAAGCAGGCTCTCTGCTGAGCAGGGAGCCCAATGCAGGTCTCAATCCCAGGACCCTGGCATCATGACCTGAGCCGAAGGCAGACGCTTAACTGACTGAGCCACCCAGGCGTGCCATGTTTTTCTTACTTTAAAAAAAATTTAGCCTCTGCTTTTTAAGATAACAATAACTTTTAAAAATTATTTGATCTTTTTTATTTTCCACATCTCTCTTAGATGTGTTTCTCTTTTTTTAATTTATTATTTTTTTAAAAAAGATTTTTATTTATTTATTTGAGAGATAGAGAGAGAGAGAGCACAGGTAGGCAGAACAGCAGGCAGAAGGAGAGGGAGAAGCGGGCTCTCCTCTGAGCAGGGAGCCCAAAGCAGGGCTCGATACTGGGACCCTGGGATCATGACCTGAGCCGAAAGAGGACACTTAACTGACTGAGCCACCCAGGCACCCCTTAGGGGTGCTTTTTAAAAAAGTATTTTAGGGGCGCCTGGGTGGCTCAGTTGGTTAAGCGGCTGCCTTCAGCTCAGGTCATGATCCCAGGGTCCTGAGATCAAGCCCTGCATCAGGCTCCCTGCTCAGTGGGGAGCCTGCTTCTCCCTCTGGCCCTCCCCCAACTTGTGCACACTCTCTCTCTGTCTCAGATAAATAAATAAAATCTCTTAAAAATTTTTAAAAAGTATTTTAAAAGTGTTTTTTTGAATAGCAAAGCATCTGAGGTTGAAATGTTTGAGAATATTCATGTTGTATTAAAATGACCATGTGTTATGGGTATACATTTTGGGATTGAAAATTCTTTTTCTTTAATTCTATGCAAGTAACATCTCATTGTGTTCTGGCATTAAGTGCTGCTGTTGATAGGAATGATGTCTATTTGTTCTTTTCCAGATGGATCTGCTCTTGTTCTTTTATAGGTGGAACTGCTCTCTCTGCAAGTGTTGAGAATTTTTTTTTCTTTGAAGTTCTTACAGTTTTCTTATAATGTATCTAAATATGTGTGCTTTTTAAAGAGATGTGTTTTTAAAAAATCTATTTGTCGGGGCGCCTGGGTGGCTCAGTCGGTTAAGCAGCTGCCTTCGGCCCAGGTCATGATTCCAGGGTCCTGGGATCGAGTCCCGCATTGGGCTCCCTGCTGAGTGGGGAGTCTATTTCTCCCTCTCCCTCTACCTGCTGCTCCCCCTGCTTGTACTCTCTCTCTAATAAAAAATAAAAAATCTTAAAAAAAATCTATTTGTCATCAGTGTACCATGTCAAACTAAGTTATATCATCTTTCTATAAAGCCTAGAAATCTATTCTTTTGTTCAGACATTTCACCTCCTTTTACTATTTTCCCCACTTTCTAGGTGTCTGATTATCAAGATGTCAGGATGTCAGTTTTGATCCTTCATGTCTCACAGCTTTTCTTTTATACTTCCTATTATATTTCCTATTGCTTAATCTTTCACACTGCCCTTCAGAGCAGTCCGACCTCTTGTTTATTAATTCTTCAGTTGCAGAAGTCCCAGTAGTTGTTTCATTTAAATATTCTTTATTCCAACCATTATTAAAACTCATTATTTCTGCTTGATAATTGGTTTCTTGTTTTTGCCTCAAATTACCAATATCCTTCTTTACCTCTCTTTTTAAACCCTTTTACTGTGAACTAGCAGACATATGTAAAAATATACAAAACATTAATGTACAGCCAATGATTATCAAGAGAACACCCATGTAACTAGTACCTAGGTCAGGGAATAGAACATTGCCAACACCCTAGAGGCCCTCTTTAGGCCAGTAGATAATTTGTAAACCTTTTAGAAGCTACAAGCTCCTTTTATCCACAAGGCCTAGCATAGTTCCTTATACAAAATAAGTCCTCAATACATGTGTCTGGTATAAATGAGTGATATATTATTTATTTAATGTCTACTTATTGAATACTTTTTACCTCCAAAGATTCCAACTCTTTTGAAGTTGGGTACATCCATGTGATTTGCTTTGGATAATGAAGTGTGAGAAGTGACACATTATTTCCAGGTAGAGGGAGAGGGAGAAGCAGACTCCCTGCTCAGCAGGGAGCCCAGTGCGGGACTCGATCCCAGGATTTCCGTGGAGTCTACTTAAAAAAATGCAAGAAAGAGATGTGTTCCAAGAGACTTCAAAGAAGCAGAGAGGCGGGAGAATTAGAAGAATATTTCGTCACCTAAGGCAAGGGAGCAGAAATTTCAGGAACAAGGAAGTATTTAGTGATGTTAGATGTTTATAATCTGGCAACTAAGGTAAATATCCACTGGGCCAGTATTGAAGGGTTATTGGCGCCCCTTTAAAGAGCAGCTTCACATATTGTGCCCAACTTCTACCTCCTTCAACTTTCATCATCGCGTTGCTGGGCCTCACTGTCTCAGGAGTTTCAGAGCACTGTGGAGAGCTGGAGAGTGAAATGACATCTCCCTAGGGTGCCCCTTGACTTCTCACTGATCCTCCTCTGGGGGCAACAACATTTGCTGGGAAGACTACCTCCCGAGGGGTCGGTGAGGAAAGAAAATGAAGGAGGCAGGTGTAAAGGGATGGAGGATGCAAAGCTAAACCGGGAGTTCTAACCCCACCGTGTTTGTCCTACTGCAGGTGACAACCCTTTGTGACATAAGAGGACATAGGGGAATCCCCAGCATCAGATCTACTTCAAAGCTCCAATGCCTCTGAATGTCTGTGCTCAACACCAATGACTGATGTCCCCAAAGCCCCCTCCAATTCCTGCCTGTGATCCTACTCACACTTAGCACTCAATAAATGTTGGAATTTGATGTATGGTGACAATTTAGTCCCCACACTGGATGGTCTATAGGCCCTAGTTTCCTCTGAGGCTCCTCCCTACAGAGCATTCTTTCCGAGTAATCCCAAGGATCAATAAATACTTGTGTGTGTTAGACATTTCTGGTGCCTTCTTTGTGACTCCAGGGCCTTTCCTCGGTCTCTATATCTTCAGTTCCCTAGGAGCACATAACCTGGACCTGTAATGTGGATGTAGTTATTGCAGTTTCTGAGCCTACCAAGTCTAGAGAATGTTTGCTCTACCCTGGGTACTTCCCTAGCATGGGGTGGAGGGCACAAGGATTGTTGGTGTCACTGCGGGGTTGATTTACTCTGAACTATTCATCTCATCTCCATCCTGCTGCTAACCTCCTTTGTTCACCCCCCACTTCTGGACTCTGACCCCCAGGGCTCCTCTCCTGCTCCAGGCAGCAGAAAAGATCCATTTTCCAGTAGACACACTGTTTTGCAGGAGTTTCCCATGGTAAATTTGTTAAGCCTTTAGTAACTTAATGTCTCTTTTATACCATGTCATACTGTACTCTATCCACTAGTCCTCTACCTGCCCCATCCTGCCAGGCTTTACTTTATTCCCGCCCCCCGTATTTTTTCAGGGGCATCTGCAACCATCTTTGCAGATCCCAGTATGTTAGCTGGCTTACTGATGTCTGAATCTCAATTGTCAATTAAGGTCATGTTTCCCACAGGGTCCCTGGGCTTGGAGCAAAGTGTAGGGATATGGATGAGTATCTGTTTCAGATGGAGAATTTTAACATAAACTGCTCACCACTCTATTATACATGGTCTTGGTGGTAAATTGGAACTAGAAATTAAGAGGTGTTATGAGGCTTTGATACAAAAAACTAGAAGTTATAATATTAAATTATGCATAAGGGGCAGCTTAAGAAGATGCCACTTCCTGTTTCTCACTTCCTCTCCAGCCCTATCCTAATGTGTTGGATGTGGGAGTTCTGGACATGGAGGATGTGGGGGTATGGTCAGCTGCCCCACAAGGCCTAGCATAGTTCCTTATAATCAGAATGCAAAAAATATTAACTATTTCACTTCTAATTATTATTCTTTTTATTTCTTCTTGCAGTTTTTATCTTTTTATACGAGATTTCTCTAATATTTTACCTTAACCATAGCTTATCCTCATCACTCTCCTCTGCTACTCTGGCCATCACTGGTTCCTCACTGGTTCCTCGCTGGTTCCAACGAGGGCTCCTGCCTGGTTCTGTGGAAGGGGCCCCTACCTGGAGCACTGATTCTACAGAGTGATCTTCAGATCTTGGACAATGCAGACTAACCATAATTTCCCCTTTCTGATCTTTGATGGATGTTGAAATGTCATTTTGATGACCCCTTTGTGAGAATCTTGTCCTTCCAAAATCACTCCAGACCACCAGGTACCATTGTCCCCATCACACGCACACCCTGATCTCCTCACTTTGCTGAGAATAGCAGCCCCTGCACGATGTCAGAGCCCTAAAGCCTTTCTCAGGGAGTGAGCCCACATAGAAAGCCCCCTAAGGTCATTCCCCTGAGCTGGATCCTCCAAGAGGAGCAGCTCTGCACTTACCTGGGGTGTCTCTGCTCTGAACCAAAGGGGAGCTTAGCATCACCAAGGACATCATGAGAGCGGCCATCCCTGGGACCCTAGTGATCCTCGGGACCACCATCCTGGAACTTGAGAAAGGATGGGGGCTGAGAGACTTGCAGTCAGAGCAGCTCTCACTCAATGGGCCCCACTCCTAAAATATATTAATATATTAATTTATATACTATATACTATAATATTAAGATATCAGAGAAGATGAGCTTGGGCAGCCTTCCTTATCCCCGGGTGTGACCAGATTCTGAAAAAGGGAACCAATAAGCAGGAATTGTCACTCACCAGACAGAAGTTTGGTATAAAGCACATGATTCTTTAAGGTGTAAGATTCATTGAAGACAGTATAAGGAAAGGGATCCTCATTTTGAGCAACTGGGTGAGTCATAAGGTTTGATTGCTTATGTGTTTTCCTCTCTCGGAACAGATCCCAACGAATGTCATTCCCACTCCACGGTGAACGCCATCTCCCTTGCACAGACATGTTCTGGGATAGAGCAAGTCCTAAGCAGTGTGTTGAAGATCTAGGGGGATTAGACTCCCTACCTTTAAACTTTGGGATCCATCCTTTCTTTTCATTTCAATATTTTGGCGGGGGGGGGGGGGCAGAATTTGTAAACACCAAATGATCTCTTGCTAATTTATAGGTGGTTCCTGATATGTGTTTCTGATTTTTTTTTTTTAACCCACTGTGACTAGTTTCCTCTCATGTAGAATGGAGATTATTATGGAGCCTATGTCCTTGGTTTATTGGGAAATCTAATTGGGATAATACTCAGTATTTGTGAATCTCTTAAAACAGAGCCTTGCACATAGTAAGGAATCAAGAAATGTTCATTATAATACTGCAAGGCTAATTAAAAACAGAAAAACAGTTGAATAAATACAAAACACAATTAATTTTAACAATATAAGTTCTATCACTTTGTTAATAAGTACCAGGGGCTTTTACTACAGTTCTACACAAATTTATAAAAAGACATCAAGTTTATATATAAAAAAAGAATTATAAAGCAAAGTTAATTTTACACTGTTGTAAAATATTAGAGAAATCTCGTATAAAAAGATAAAAACTGCAAGAAGAAATAAAAAGAATAATAATTAGAAGTGAAATAGTTAATATTTTTTGCATTCTGATTATATGTCTGGAAATTTTTTTTTTTTTAAGATTTTATTTATTTATTTGAGACAGAGAGAATGAGAGAGACAGAGAGCACATGAGAGGGGGGAGGGTCAGAGGGAGAAGCAGACTCCCTGCCGAGCAGGGAGCCCGATGCGGGACTGTCTGGAAATTTTTGATCAAATATTATCAGATTCCTCCAAAATTATCAAAGGAATGAAAGGGTAAAATATATCATTACTTAACAATCAAGTGAATTCTTACATGATACAAAAAATCAACATGAAATTATGAAGAAAATTATCCATTCACAAAAGTTACTACAAATAAAAAATGTTCCAGGATCAATTTCAAAGATGTATTTCTAATCGATCCCATTAAAAGGAAGGTGATTATCATGTCTCCCTTTTTGTTCTCTTCCTCTTATCCCTGAACCCCACATAGGTTAGGACTTTCTCAGCCGCGTCGCTTCTCGCCTCTTTCCCAGACACTGAGATGCTCCTTCCGACATTTTCTGGATGGCTGAGCCCCGCTGAGCTGTTTCACTTCCACCCCTTTTCCCTCCACCAGATAGGGAAATATGTCCTGCATTCAGAGCTCCTCCCTGCCCTGCTCTGCCTCATTCTCTCCCCACTGTCTGCCTCACAGCAGCCACTGCAAATGCACCTGGAAGACATAAGGAAAAGAAAAAAACCTCTGAGTTATGAGGGTTAAACGAAGCAATGCACACACATAACAGGTTATGGGAGTCACGGTTGATTCGCCATGCTCGGTGCCTCTCTTCCTGGGCTCCTCACTTAATCATCCCATCCTTTCTGCAGACCCCAGCTATGCTTACTCCTAGCTCAGTAACACCCAAGTCTGCACCCTCAGCCTCTCTTAGAAAGGGGGCAGCTGGTCCCACGCAAGGCATGATGGGAGGGGAGCAAGCAGCGGGAATGACAGGGGGCGGGGCCAGGGGGCGAACAAGATATTGGGGCTGCTTGTAAGGAGAGAGGAGGCACCACCTCCATGCGTCAGAGATCTTCTGAGAGCTCATTATGTGCCTCAGGAGGTAATAATCCATAGTTTATGCAAAAAGGACCACTTAGAACTTATCTCGACTTTCAGGATAATTTCATATGAAACAGAAAACCCAAAATAATTTTGGACTGTAAAAGCAGACCTAAGTTTAAAAAAGAGAACTGCATCTACTGCTTTGAGCATTTTAACACTGTGAATTACGAGGACAGGAGGCCTGGATGGTCTGATGACTACAGACTTAAAGGATAAACCTGTATCTTCTATAACTTGTTGCATTAAAAAGGCTAAGCCTTGTTTGGTCAAGGACTATTTATCATGGTATGCAAAACAAAGGGCTTAAGTTTATTACATTATATTTCCAATTTTAAATTCTGATCTTGATTTCTTTTTAAAAAAGATTTATTTATTTACTTTAGGGGGAGGGGCAGGGGGAGAAGGAGAGAGAATCCTCAAGCAGACATCCCACTGAGCGGGGAGCCTGATGCAGGGCTCCACCCCAGGACTGAGATTGTGACCTGAGCCAAAATCAGGAGTCCGATGCTCAATCAACTGAGCCACCCAGGCACTCCTTAATTTGATTTCTTAATGGTAATAGTAAAACACGCTCTTTGTAAGTTATATGTTGAATCAATGCTGTGTGAATATAGGTCATATAACACAAAATTCACCATCTGCTCATCCTTGAATAACTAAGAATGGTCCCAGACCTACAGGGATAAAAGTAGCTAACACAAATCACTATCTTTGGGGCAGCCCAAAGATAGAGGGTGAATTCAGAGGAGGTCCATGTCCAATCTGCCACCTTTCCCGAGTTAGGATATCCCCTTTTCATGCTTTCCTTCTTGCCTGTGTATATACAACAATGAACCTCTTCATGAACTCCTATTGTTTACCAAAATCCTCAAACAAAAGCAATGGCAGAGATGACTTGGTGCATATTCTTAAGAGAAAACAGACAATAACATTGACCTTTTATTATTTATGGAACTATAAGAAGGGAACTTGGATAGGGGCCCTGAGAGAAAGTGTGCATGGAATCAAAGAAGAACAACTATAGAAACTAGTTTCAGAGCCATTACTTGGTAGTAACATCCTCTTGGGAGGCTGAAGTCTGTCCCGGAACCAGCCTCTGGGACTGAGGAAAGATAGAAAAATGCTTGTTCCGGGGCACATGGAGGTCTTTGGGTCAGATCAGGAACCTGCAGAGGTAAAAGGAAAAGTTATCTCAGGTTGCTGACTTCTCTTCCTCTAAGGCTCAGGAAAGAAAAATTTGGTGAGACTGAGTCTTAGCCTGATGAAAAATAAGAATTTTTCTGGGCTTCCTTCATCAGTGGAATAAAGTAACGCTCGTTTTCCACACTTGCTAACGGGCTGAAGTTTAAAGAGAGGCTCAGGCCTGAGACCCTCTCCCAGTAGATGACTCAGAGTAACAGTGCAATGAAAGGACTTTCTGCGGGGTGCCTGGGTGGCTCAGCCATTAAGCGTCTGCCCTTGGCTCAGGTCATGATCCCAGGGTCCTGGGATCGAGCCCCGCATGAGGCTCCCTGCTCCGCGGGAAGCCTGCTTCTTCCTTTCCCACTCCCTCTGCTTGTGTTCCCTCTCTCGCTGTGTCTCTCTCTGTCAAATAAATAAATAAAATCTTAAAAAAAAAAAAAGAAAGAAAAAAGAAAGGACTTTCTGCAACCCACCCACCGAGAAAAACAAAGCAGGAGTATTACTTGGTTTTCAAGATTCTCATTACGTGAAAATGAAAGGAGAAAGGGGAATGTCTTCAGCCATTAAAAGCATCTTAGACAATTAGATAAACTTTCCAATCTCATTTTCATTGCCATGGTCTGATCCCTGGGAAGTAAGGCAGGGGCTGGTTGAAGACTAATCCATTACTAAATGAACTTAGGCATGACCTGAGTATCTGCAGCCCCCATGCGTCTGGTTGAGATAAGATTCCAGCCTGCGAATTTCTCTCTCCCTCCAGCCTGTTTTTGCTCCCTGACAATCTGATTTCAGTGGCCTCCAGGATTCTCTGGCATTGCTTTTGTGTGTCAGTTCCTTATCATGGAAGATGGGTGACTAAGTCAGGGGAAAGCAAACCTCAGCCACCTCTCAGGTTTTCTTACCTTTCTTGCTCCTCATATGCACTAAGATGCCCACTACAAGGAAGATGAGCCCCAGCACAAAGCTTGAGATTCCAGCCAGCGTTCCTCTGGGCAGAATCAGTGTGCCTCTGGGAAACACAGACTGGGGTCAGTCTCACCTCTACCTGCTGCATCCCCCTCAGGTACTATCTGAGATTCTGAGACCTGATGTAGAACACCAATATGAAGGCTATGACAGATACATACCTTGGAGAAGGAGGAAATGTAGAAAGGACCCCAAAGTTCTGGAAATTAGGCTGTAACTTCAAAAGGACACACATGCTAATTCTGGTAGCTGCCTCTCAAAATAACTCACTAAGCTAAAAGACCGAAGGCAGAGAACAGTTCCCATGTGTGAGGGTAATTCAGGAAGGTGTCTGAGTTTCCTAGGTTTTCTGACAAGAGCAGAGACCTATGAATCCTTAGCATCCCCTAGGTCAGGGTGGCCAAGTCTCTGCTACCCCAGCTCTGAACTATTCTCAGGGACTTCTCTAGGAAAAAGATGGGGGTAGATATGACCCCAGTGTGTAGACACATGACAAGATGCGTGGACCCCAGAGCTAGAACATCCCCTGTTCTCAGAATTTGGAGCCTACATGGTTATCAGGGAATAACTCACTCCACTCCACAGTGACAGGACCATCCAGGCTGGGGTGCTCCACTTGGCAGGTCCAGCCATCTCCCTGCTGAAGGGTCATTGCCAGCATCACCAGGATCTGGAAGATCCAGTCTTTATTATGGATAAGGTTGGTGGACATAACCCTAGCTGTTTTCCTCCTGTCCATTTAGTGGGGTTGAATGTGGCCTGGATAGAATCTGTCACATGGTACACAAGAAGGCTGAGATAGGGTTCCATTCTTCAAAGGGGAGGTATTCACTTTAGGCTTGACTAAGAACTGTAAAGAGGGTTCCATTCTTCAAAGGGGGTTCCATTCTTCAAAGGGGAGGTATTCACTTTAGGCTTGACTAAGAACTGTAAAGAGGAAGAAAAGCTAATGGCATATGAGATTATTATTTCTTAGACATTTTCGTTATAGAGTTGATTTCTAGATGTTTAAAATATAAATGATATAATTAGGCTAGGAGATATGGGTGGTACTGAACAGATGAAATAAACCTTCAAATGGAATATTCATGACCTCGAATTATATAATAAGGATTGAGAAGAATGGGAGAGAGACAAGGCAGCACTTTGTGGCACATTTAGCAGAAATTTTAACTGTAAAAAAAAAAAAAAGAAATTTTAACTGTAAGTTAGTGACTAATAGCCTTTGGACAAAGAATATATAACTGGCTGTGAAATGACCTATGTTTTCAATCTTGATTAAAAGGATGAAAAATTTGCTCAAATAATTTCTAAAAATTAAATATACAGACAATAGCATTCTCTTGTTATATGAATCTAATAACTATTTTTTTTAAATGAAGGAAATTAAGCAAGTTTGATATGGCTTATTCTTTAAATAACTTAAATATTTTTTCTACAAAAGTCCAAAATCTTCATATTTATAGTGATATCCTCAAACCCAGTATTCTGAGCCCCTACATGCTTCATCAGTAGGAATACTAGTCCTTTAAGTTCCTCTTCTGCAAAATGTCTTCTCAGGCTCCTTGAAGAATCCCAAAAATAGTCAGATGTTATCTGTACCTCCACATTTCTCTGCTTGATGGCCCCTCTTCTCCTTCTTCATCTTCTGTGCTGCTCATAGGTCAATTTCCAAGTGCAGTTTCTTCTTTTGGATAGCTCCCTCCAGAGGGCAGAAAAGTATCCATTGCGCCCCTAGAGAAAATTCAGAGTAATTTCCCAAATCAGAGCTTCTAGCTCCTTAATAATTTAGTTCTTCCTTTTCTACTTTGTGCACAAATACCCTAGGGTGCAGCTGGGTCAGGTAAAGGTACAGTAAGTATACCCATGACCATTGTTCCCTGTTATATTTTTGCCTTGTGCATGCCAGGAGAGTGAGAAAATATCATAACAAAACTAAACTGAATGGGTGTGCAAGCACTTCCTGTAGCTCCTCTCCCTGGCTCAGCACAGAGCGAGCAGGTGCTAAAACCCAGCTCCCAGCTTCTCCCTGGAAGGAATTAGACTGCACATCTAGCACCCTGACTTTTCTAGCTGTTGACTGAGGGTCTGGCTTCTAACTAGCCTGTCCATAGGAGAGGGCCTGGAATTTGCTAGTCTCCCAGGGACAACAGAGAACAAGTGGTGGCTTTGAATAGGTTTATGGGTTGCTCCTATGGCTCCTTCTCCCTCAGTTCACTTCAGTGATAAAGCCCAGCATCCAGCTTCTCCCTGGAAGGAGTTGGACTACACATCTAGCCCCCCAACTTTTCCAGGTGCTACTGGAGAGACTGGCTTCCAACTCACCTGTCTCTGAGAGCTGACAGGGATTGACATTCACTAGGCCCCTGGGAACTACAGAGAGCAAAGCAATGGTTTAAAAGTATGTGGTCTGAATAAGAATGCAGATATTTGTCACAGCTCTTCTCCTCGGCTCAGTGCAGAATGAGTGGGTGATAAACTCCAGCTCCCAGATTGTCCCTGAGGAAAGAAGGAGTTGGATCACATATGCAGCACCCAACTTTTTCAGCTGCTACTCAAGAAGTTGGCTTTTATCTCACCTGTCTCGGGGCACTGACAGGACTTGTCACGTTCTAGATTCCTGGTGGCTGCTAAGTACACAGACAATGGTTTGGAAACACATACAAAGATCTGAAAGACACCCATAATCTTTGGTTGGGATGATTGGTAAGGGTCTTCTCCTGTATGAGGCCAGTCCATGAAGACTAGGAGATGTGCTGTTTTGTCTAATGCACAGACACCAACACAGAGTCAAGGAAAATGAAGAAATGGGACTATGTTCCAAACAAAAAAATGATATAAATTTCTTGAAATCAATCCTAATGAAATAGAAATATGTGATTTACCCAACAGAGAATTCAAAATAATCATCATTAAGATGCTCACTGAAGTTAGGAGAGCAATGCATGAACAAAGTGAGAATTTCAACAAAGAGTTGGAAAAATTTAAAAGTACCAAACAGAAATCATAAAGTTGAAGAATACAATAAGTGAACTGAAAAATTCAATAGAGGTATTCAACAGCAGACTAGATCAAGTAGAAGAAAGTATTAGTGAAACTGAAAACGAGTCACTGGAATCATCCAGTCAGAGGAGCCAAAAGAAAAAAGAATGAAAAGAGTGAAGATAGCTTAAGGGACTGGGGACATCATCAAATGGACCAATATAAACATTATGGGAGTCTCAGAGGAAGAAGAGAGAGAGAGAGGCAAAGGGGCAGAATGCTTATTCAAAGAAATAATGTTGAAAACTTCCCAAATCTGGGGAAGGCTAAAGATCCAAGAAGCCTAAAGATATTAAAGAAGATGAACCCAAAGAAACCCACACTGAAGCACATTATAATTAAATTATCAAAGTCAAAGACAAAGAGAGAAATTTGAAAGCAGCAGGAAAAAAGCAACTTGTCACATACTAGGAAACCCCAATAAAACTATCAATAGATTTTTCAGCCGAAATATTGCAGCCCAAAAGAGTGGGATGATATATTTAAAGTGCTGAAAGAAAAAAAATCCTGCCAACCAAGAATGCTATATTCAGCAAAAACTGTCCTTCAAAAATGAAGGGAAGATAAAGACTTTCTCAGACAAACAAATGCTGAGGGAGTCCATCACCACTAAGACCTGCCTTATAAGAAATGTTAGAAGGAGGTGAAATGACAGGATGCTAACAGCAAAATGATAACTTAAGAAAGCATGAAACACATTGGTAAAGGTGAAAATATAGACAAATATGGAATGCTGTATCACTGTAACATTGATGAGCAAATCATTTTTAAATCTAGTGTAAAAGTTAAAAGACAAAAGCATTGAAGTAACTATAACTAAAATCATATTAGTGGATATACAATATAAATAGATGTAAATTGTGACATCAGTAACATATATGGGGTAGGGGAGAGGTAAAAGTGTAGAGTTTTTGTATGCAAGTGAAGTTAAGTTGTTATCAGCTTAAAACAGAGTGTTATAGCTAGAAGATATTTATATAAGCCCCATTGTAACTACAAAGAAAATACCTATAGAAGCTACACAAAACAAAAGGAACTAAAGCCTATTAATACAAAAAAAAAAAAAAAAAAACCAACAAAAAAAAACCCACACAAAGGAAGACAGAGAAAAAGAGGGACAAAGAACTGTAAGACAAACAGAAAACAGTTAACAAAATGGTAATATTAAATCCTTCCCAATCAATAATTACTGTAAATGTAAATGGTTTAACTCCCCAATCAAAAGACATAGAGTGACTGTTCAATTAGCCAACTTATAGTACATTTTTAGTTTCAGATGTAGTGTTTAATAATTTATCAGTTGTGTATAACACCCAGTGCTCATCATATCACATGCTCTCCTAAATGCTCATCACCCAATTACCCCATCTCCCCACCAACCTCCCCTCCAGCAACCCTGTTTGTTTCCTGTAGTTAAGAGTCTTTCATGGTTTTTCTCCCTCTCTGATGACTTCCCATTCTGTTTTCCCTCCTTTCCCCTACAGTCCTCTGCCCTGTTTCTTATATTTCACATGAGTGAAACTATATGATAATTGTCTTTCTCTGACTGACTTATTTCACTCAACATAATACCCTCCAGTTCTATCCACATCAAGAAACTTACTTTAGGGGGCGCCTGGGTGGCTCAGTTGGTTAAGCGACTGCCTTCGGCTCAGGTCATGATCCTGGAGTCCCGGGATCGAGTCCCGCATCGGGCTCCCTGCTCGGCAGGGAGTCTGCTTCTCCCTCTGACCCTCCTCCCTCTCATGCTCTCTGTCTCTCATTCTCTCTCTCGCAAATAAATAAAATCTTAAAAAAAAAAAATTAAAAAAAAAAAAAGAAACTTACTCTAGGGACATCTGGGAGGCTCATTCAGTTAAGCGGCTGCCTTCGACTCAGGTCATGATCCCAGGGTCCTGGGATCAAGTCCCGCATCAGGCTCCTTGCTCAGTGGGGAGCCTGCTGCTTCTCCCTCTGCCTGCTGCTTCCCCTGCTTGTGCTCTTTCTCTCTGACAAATAAATAAAATCTCAAAAAAAAAGAATCTTACTTTAGATTTAAAGATACACATAAACTGAAATGAAGGAATGAAAAAAGATACTCCATGCAAATAGTAACCAAAAGAAAATAAGGTAGCTATAATTATATCAGACAAAATAGACTTTAAGTAAAAAACTGTCTTTAGGGACAAGGAAGGTCATTACATTAAGATAAAAGGATCATTCAATAGGAAGATACAACAATTGTGAATATAAATGCACCCAACATCAGAGCACCTAAGTATACAGAGCAGATATTGACACATCTGAAAGGAGAAATTGATGGCAATACAATAATAGTAGGAGACTTCAATACACTTTCAATACTGGGTGGAATTTCCAGACAGAAAATCAATAAAGAGACAGTGGAGTTAAAGAACACTATACAATGAATGGACCTAAAGGACACACACAGTGTTTTCCATCTAACAGCATAAGAATACATATTCTTCTCTAGCACACACAGAACATTCTCCAGGATTAAATCACATGCTGGGTCAAAAAACAAGTTTTAACAAATTTAAGAAGATCAATATCATTTCATGTATCTTTTGTGATCATGATAGAATGAAATGAACTCAAAAACAGTGAGAAAATGGGTAAACTCACAAATAAGTGGAAACTAAAGACCACACTTCAACAACCATTGGTCAAAAGGGCATTTAAAATATATCTTGAGAAAAGGAAAATGAAAACACAACATACTAAAACTTATGGGATGCAGCAAAAGTAATACTAAGAGGGAAGTTTTTAGCAAAAAAAGATCTCAAATAAACAACCTTACGCCTTAAGGAACTAGAAAAAGAAGAACAAACTAAACCCCAAGTTAGTAGATAGAAAGAAATAATAAAGCAGAAATAAATAAAATAGAGGATAGATGATAGATGGTTATCAACAAAACTGAGAACTGGTTTTTTGAAAAGATAAAAAAATTGATAAACCCTTAACTAGACTAAGGAAAAAGAGAGAAGACGGAAACAAATCAAATCAGAAATGAAAGAGGAGACATTAAATGGATGCCATGGAAATAAAGAAGATCATAGGGAACTTTATGAGTAATTACATGCCAACAAATTGGATAGCCTGGAAGAAATGGAGAAGCTCCTAGAAACGTATAACAAAATGGAATCAAGAAGAAATAGAAAGCCTGAACAGACCAATAACAAATAAGAAAATTGAAGGAATAATTAAAAACCCCCCAACAAAGAAAAGCCCAGGACCAGATGGCTTAATGGATAAATTCTACCAAACATTTAAAGAAGAATTAAAACCAATCCATCTAAAACTCTTCCAAAAAATAGAGGAAACACTTCCAAACCATTTATGAGCCCAGCAACACCCTAATACCAAAAGCCAGACAAAGATAACACAAGAAAAGAAAACCACAGACCAATATCCCTAGTGAACACAGATGTTAAAATACTCAATAGAATATTAGCAGACCAATTCAACAGCACATTAAAAGGATTATATACCATGACCAAGTGGGATTTACCTGTGGGATGAAAAGATGGTTCAATAATGGCAAATCAATTAACGTGACACATCATATTAACAGAATGAAAGATAAACATGATCATCTCATGATAGATGAATACACACAGAAAAAGCATTTGACAACATCCATTTGGGATAAACACTATCAGCAAATTAGATGTAGAGGAACTTACCTCAACACAACAAAGGCCATATATTAAAAGCCCATAGCTAACATAATCAATGAGGAAAACCTGAAAGCTTTTCTTCTAAGATCTGATACAAGGCAAGGATGCCCACTCTTGCCACTTCTATTCAACATAGTACTGGAAATCCTAGCCAGAGCAATTAGACAAGAAAAAGAAATGAAAGGCATTCAAAACAGAAAGGAAGAAATAAATTTATCTGTTTTCAGATGACATGATCATATATGTAGAAAACTCCAAAAACTCAACAACAAAACTATTAGAACTAATAAATGAATCCAGTAAAGTTGTAGGAAACAAAATCAATGTGTGAAAATCAGTGATGTTTCTATACACTAACAATGAACTCTCTGAAAAGAAAATTAAGGAAACAATCCTAATCACATAGCAACAAAAAGACTAAAATACTTAGGAATAAACTTAACCAAAGAGATGAAAAATTTGTCCACTGAAAATTCTAAAACATTGATGAAGGAAATCAAAGCAGACACAGATAAAAGAAAAGACCTCAATGTTCATGGATTGGTCCAGACTACTAAGGTAATTTACAGATAATCCCAATGGAATTCTTTACAGAAATAGAAAAAATAATCTTTAAAAAAAGATTTTATTTATTTATTTGACAGACAGCACAAGCAGGGGGAGTGGCAGAGAGAGAGGGAGAAGCAGGCTCCTGGGTGAGCAGGATCATGACCTGAGGCAGACGATTAACCAACTGAGCCACCCAGGCACCCCTAGAAAAAATAATCTTTTTTTTTTTTTAAAGATTTTATTTATTTATTTGAGACAGAGAGAATGAGAGACAGAGAGCATGAGAGGGAGGAGGGTCAGAGGGAGAAGCAGACTCCCTGCCGAGCAGGGAGCCCGATGCGGGACTTGATCCCGGGACTCCAGGATCATGACCTGAGCCGAAGGCAGTCGCTTAACCAACTGAGCCACCCAGGCGCCCGAAAAAATAATCTTAATTACATGAAACACAGAAGACCCCAAATAGACAAAACAATCTTGAGCAATGAGAAGAAAGCTGGAGGCATCACATTTCCTTTTTTTTTTTTCACAGAAAGTGATTTATTGCTTTTAGAATAAAATAAAATGCTTTCAGAACTTTTATTAGTGAAGAAAAACTGTTAGAACTTGAAAACTTTTCTAAAACATTCCTTTGTCAGCTAATGAAGTAGGCACTTCAACACAGAAAACTTCCCATTTGCAACTGTGTGGAGCCCAAGCTGTCCAATTAGATGCAGCTAACTGCTTAGAAGTGGGGCTTGCACTTTGGCCAGTGTACTGTCAGGTCTAACCTCTTTGCCCTGATGCCTGTGGTGCTCCTTCTTCTCCAGCACCCACTCACAGCTCTTCACCACCCCATGCCTCACAATCCTGTATGGGACTCTGTGTAGGAGACAGCTCTGAGTGGGTGGATGGAGTGGCCTGGCAACACCCAAGCTAATCACACAGGGAAAAATGGTGATCCTCCCTGAGTTAGGTGGCCTCGGATACCCCTTCTACAGCAGAAGTCCCCACTTTTGGACACCCTCTCCTCTCCCAGTGATATTCCGCAGGAGCCAAAGAAGTTGTTTAGTAGGAGAGCAAGAGGTGAGAGGCCCCACTCCCTCACAGGCATCTTTGTGGTAGATGACTACCTGTTTAGGTGTTTGTTAGGCGTTGCCTATGGGGTAGGCAGGGGGCTAAGTTACTTTTGGGGCAACACAGGCCAGGATCAGCTCATGAGAGCCTGGCACTATCTAAGGAGAGCCAGAGGCCCCATGTTGCCACTTCAGCCCCTAGTCTGGCTGTGGGGCTAGCATGCCTGGTATAGACCAAGTGGGAGCTTCCAGCAACTCCAGATGTCTGAGGCAGGAAAACAAGGCTGCCAGCTTGTGGCAGCCCTGACAATAACCCTCAAGGGCTGATCTTGGCCTCCAGCCCTGGCTAAGAGAAAAGGGACCCTCCAGCCCCATGGGAGAGAGGCCTTGCCTAATTTCAAAATACACTATAATCAAAACAGTATGGTACTGGTAAAAAAACAGACATATAGGAAAATGGAACAGAATAGAGGGCCCAGAAATAAATCAGTGCATTTATGCATCTATCTATGGTCAATTGGTCTTCAACAAGAGTTTCAAAAACACTCAACGGGGAAAAGAGAGTCTCTTCAATAAATATTGTTGGGAAAATTGGATATCTATATGCAGAAGAATGAAACTGGGCCCTTGTCTTGCACCATATGCAAAAATCAACTCAAAATAGATTGAAGACTTAAACGTAAGACTTGAAACCGTAAAATCCTAGAAGAAAATAGGGGGAAAACTCCTTGACATATGAGAAAAGATATCATCTCATACCTGTTAGGATGGCTATTATCAAAAGACAAAAATTAGTGTTGCTGAGGATGTGGAGAAAAGGTAATCCTTGTACACTGGTAGTGGGAATGTAAATTGGTACAGCCATTATGGAAAACAGTATGGAGGGTCCTCAAAAAATTAAAAATAGAACTACCATATGATCCAGCAATCCCACTTCTGAGTATATATATCCATGATATATATGTATGAATATATATAATAAATATATAATATATTGTATATATATTAAAATATTATATATTATATTATACATAATACCATGCTAATTAGCTATATAGCAAACATTATGCTAAGTAAAATAAGGCAGACACAGAAAGACAAATACTGCATGATCTCACATGTGGAATCTAAGATAGTTAAACTCAGACAGGCAGAGAGTAGAATGGTGGTAACTAGGGGCTAGGGGGAGGTGGAAATGGGGAACTATTGGTCAAAGGGTAGAAATTTTCAATTATCCAAGATGAATACGTTCTGGAGATCTTACGTACAGTGTGGTGATATAGTTAACAATGCTGTATTGCATACTTGAAATTTCTTGAGGGTAGATCTCAAGTGTTCTCAACATACACACACACAAAGACTCTGGCTATCCTGTGGAGTGATGGATATGTTAATTAGCTTGATTGTGCGATCATTTCACAATGTATACATATATCAAAACATCAAGTTGAACACCTTAAATATATATAATTAATATATATAATTCCTATTTGTCAATTATACCTCAATAAGATGGAAAAAGTCTTCAGGATCTGCCAACTCTTACCTGGCTACATGGGAATCAGTAGGGAGCTAATTAAAAATACAGATTTCCAGACCTCAACACCCACTTAGGATCTGAATCTCTGGGCAGTGATTCTGCGGAATCTGTGCTTTAGGGAAGATTTCTAGGAGATTCTGGTGAGCAGGACTTGGGACCTGGTGGCCTAGAAGATAAACCCAGACTCCTTGGGCTGGCATCCAGCACTCTCTGCTATCCAGCAGCTGATCACTGCTAGAGAAAATGATGCCATTTAGCAGATCTGTGACCCTACAAAATCTTGTAAAAGGCCCCCAACAATTTACCATTCCTATGACTTGTCTTTGGGCATTTCTCTCACCTAATTACCCCAGCAACTTGCCTTTGAAACAATATTACTCTCTTAATTCCTATCCAATTTGTCCACCATCTCATTCTTAGCAGACGACCTTGCCTTCCACTTTCCCAAGAAAAGAGGAAACAAAAGCTGTCACACACATCCTCTCCCTTCTCCCACCCTTCATCTTTTCCTTTGTCTCTGTGACAAGAGTCCTTGTTTTTGTTCACAGCTCACTCCTCCACCCCTCACTGCTATTGTCTCTGGTCTCCTCAAGTTGGTGTACCCAATCTCCTCCTCTGTACAAGTTGACAGAAAGAAGCCTTGAACAGTCTTCTTGACTCAGCGCACAGCTCAGCTCTCCTCCCTTTATACTCAGACTTCCTAAAAGAACAGCACAATTCAGCTCAAACACTAATCTCTACCAGCGATGGGAAATCAAGACAGGTCAAATGCCATCTCAGCCCCCAAGGATCTTAGGCTCCACACTCATCCTCATCCCCCTTACTTCTCAGCCCGTCCTGCTCCTGCTCCTGCTCCCCGTCCTGGAGCCAGCCTGCTCTCCCCATGTCTCCCTGATTTCCAAACCCACACTTCAACCTGCCTTTCCTTCATCTTCCGAAGTCATTGCTACCATTGGTTTAGGTCACCTTCTTAACCTCAGTTTCCGGAACACTTCTCTGTCCATTTCTCCTAATACCTGCTCTTCACTTTCAGGTTTCCTTCCCAGGATCTTTCTCTGTTGGCCAACATCACAACTGTCCAGGTTCCTGAGGTGCAGTCCTTTGCTCTCGTCTCCCGGGATCCGCTCTCCTAAATGATCTCAGCGCCTTCTCGTGGCCTCCAGACATTTATAGCAACCGGCCACCTGCTGTCCCTCAGACATCTCAGACCCATCTTCCCCACCAGCGTTTCTTCCTACACCGCCCAGAGGCGGTGCTGTGCTGGGAGGCTCCGTCGGCACCTCTCCGTCCCACGGGCCACGGCTGCACCCCGCCTCCTGGGCTCCCCACGCCGCCACGGCCAACCAGGTGCTGGCCTGCGTGTCCCCGCCGACCTCGCCTTCTCTCCTCTGGGGCTCAGCCCCTTCTGCTCCTGCCCTCGCTCTCCCCCGCCCCTCAACCCCAGCCCCAGCGCCCCCTTCCCGCCCCACGCCCCCGCGCCGGTGAGCCCCGCCCACACGCTCAGCCTGGCGCGCGTGGCCACGCCCCCGCCCGGCCTCCCGTCTGAGCTGCCAGCGCTCGGCCCGTGTCCGCTTCCTGACCCGCTTCAGCCCTTTTCCGGCGTGGCCGCAGCCTCAGCTCGGTCACCGGCGTGTCTTTCCCCGTCCCCGCGGAAGCGCGCGCTCTCCTCTCCCGTTTACGATGTGTCTGTCCACCAGGCGCCGCGCCCCGGGAGACAGCCGGCGCCCTCAGCGTCCCCGCGGCAGGAGAGTGCGCTGCGGGAAGCGGCGGCGCTGAGCCGGGCGGAGGGGTGGGGGGGGCGCCGCCCGACTCCCACTCCCCGCTCGCCCGCCTAGGTCCGCGCGGTCCCGGGGGCGGAGCAGGGCAGCCGCGACCATCGTTACCCGCCCACCCTCCTCGCCCCCCCCGCCCTCCCCTTGCTTCCCGCTGCTGCTGGACCTTAAACCCGCGCCACCACCCGCCAGCGGGGAGAGCTAACCTGGAGCCCCCGGGGTCCTAGTGCCGCCCAGATAGCGCTGCTTCGTTTTGGGGAGCTTTCGCTGGCTGTCCCGCATTTATTGAGAGATAGAGCCTATTAAAATCAAAACCGAACGAAGACTAGCCTTGAAAATTCTAAGCAGAGTAACCAGTATGATCTTACAAACAAAGCATAATTTAGCTTATTTTGCAAGGCTAAGTTGACCTAGATCATTTCTTGTTTGAGCTTCTGGAAATGATAAGCAAAACTTGAACTGGTTCCCATGGATGATATGAAGGGACCACTGAAAAATCTCATATTGCAGCCAATCTGTGAAGAATAAACAGTCACTGCTTTCTCACGGCACAAGTTGCTTTATAACAATATATCCTGAGCCTCATTCCATGCTCTGGTTTGAGAGCTCCCGATTTGCAAACTGTATTTTTGGTGTGTGCACAATAAATTTTTACTAATTACTTTAGTGGTTCATTGGTTTTTACTTTAGCTATTTTGAACCTTTGACAGTATATTTAATGTGCATGGTTCTAGCTATTCTCAAAACGTCTCACCTCAGGGCTGGATTTTTAAAAACTATCTTTTCAAATTGTGAGTTAGGTGACCTTGGTCACAGAACCTTTCTAGGCCTTGGTGTTCTCACCTATGAAAGGAGAGGATTTAACTAAATGATTTCTGAACATTGAACAATAGGCCTTTCACAGGGAAAAGGAAAAGGTAAATAAATAAACATGCGTACATATATATGAATATATAAAATGTAACTCAATGCTAAAGGATGATTCAGTGATCTTTAGAGGGGGTGGTCGTATTAAGGGGAAAGCAATCAATTCTGCTGGCAGCTGGAAGAGGAGGGGGCATGAAGGCTTCAGGGGGAGGTGATATTTCATGTGGGGTCCAGGGAGGGGCAGAATCTCACTAGTGGGGAAAGGCCTCAGATGGAGGCATGGTAGGGACAGAAAGAGTTGGGGAAATGGAGAGTGGTGCTATTCTCTCTGATTCCTTTCCTGCTATTGGACAGTCTCGGCTCATGTGTCATCTCTTCCAGGAAGCCTTCCCTTATTTCTTTCTCTTTTCCACAGTTAGGTTCTCTCTCTTCTGTTTCTAGTATTACATCTTAAATATACCTCAGTTTTGTTGTGTTGCATGCTGGAAATGTAGAAATAAATTTCATAAAGCTTTCTTAAAGCCTGGTGTAAGTTAAAATATCTTTTCACCTTTCAAGCATTGCCATAGAGAAACTTGACCTCAAGAGGTGTGGAATGTATCTTGATTGATCAATGAAAATTACCTCAACCTCCAGATAGAACATTTAACCTAAATACCAGCAGAATATATTTAAAAATGTAATGCATTAATTTAAAATATCATTTAGAGACAACAGAAGACAAACTGGAACATTCACAAATTTGTGGAAATTAAATAAAACACTCAAACAACTAATGGATCAAAGAAGACTCACAAGGGAAATTAGAAAATACTTCAATGAGCGAAAACTAATGCACAACACACAGTGCAGCATACCAGCAGTAAGGGCTGCGCTAAGGGGCAAATTTATATCTGTAAACACATTAAAAAGGAAAAAAGGGGGCACCTGGGTGGCTCAGTTGGTTAAGCGGCTGCCTTCGGCTCAGGTCATGATCCCAGGGTCCTCAGATAGAGTCCCACATCAGGCTCCTTGCTCAGTGGGGATCCTGCTTCTCCCTCTGCTTCCCGCTCCCCCTGCTTGTGCTCTCTCACTCTCTCTCTCTGACAAATAAATAAATAAAATCTTAAAAAAAAAAAAAGGAAAAAGACCTTGGGGCGCCTGGGTGGTTCATTTGGTTAAATGTCTGCCTTAGGCTCACGTCATGATCCTGGAATCCCGGGATGGAGTCTTGCATGGGGCTCCCTGCTCAGCAGGAAGTCTACTTCTCCCTCTGACTCTCGCCCCTATCATGCCCTCTCTCTCATTCTCTCTCTTTCAAATAAATAAATAAAATCTTAAAAAAAGACGAAGACCTCAAACCAATCACCTACTTCACAACCTTAGGAACTAGCAAAAGAACAAACAACCCAAAGCTGGCAGATGGAAGGAAATAATAAAGATTAAAACAGAGATAAATAAAATAGAGAAGAGAAAAATATACTGAAAATAAATAAACCCAAAAGTTGCTTCTTCAAAAAGATTAACAAAATTGAGAAACCATTATATGGATTGACTGAAAAAAGAGAGAGAAGATTCAAATTGCTAGTTAGAAATGAATGGGGGTGGGGGTCGCCTGGGTGGCTCAGTCAGTTAAGCATCTGCCTTCTGCTCAGGTCATGATCTCAGGGTCCTGGAATCCAGCCCGTCGTAGGGCTCCCTGCTCAGTGAGGAGTCTGCTTCTTCCTCTCCTTCTGCCCCTCCCTTCCCCCCCACCCCCACCGCCCCGTGCTTGCTCACTACTCTCTTTCTCTCTCAAATACATAAACAAAATCTTTAAAAAAGAGAGAATGAATTAGGGACATTTCTACTGATTCCACAGAAACAAAAAGGATTAAAAGACAGTACCATGAACATTTAGATAATCAACTAATTGGATAACCTAGATGGAATGGACAAATACCTAGAAACACAAAACCTACCTAGACTGAACCAACAAGAAATAGAAAATCTGAGTAGACCTATAAATAGTAAGGTTAAATCAGTAATTAAAAAAACCTTTGGACAAGGAAAAGCCCTGGAGTTGATGGTTTCACTGGTGAATTCTACTAAATGTTAAAAAACTAATACCAATACTCCTCAAACTCAAAGAACTGAAAAGAAGGGGAATACATCCTAACTTCTTCTATGACACTATTGCTGTCTGATACCAAAGCCAAACAAAGACACTACCAGAAAAGAAAACTACAGACCAATACCCCTTATGAATATTGATGCAAAAATCCTCATCAAAATACTAGCAAACTGAATCCAGGAGCATATCAAAAGAATGCACACCAAGTAGGATTTATTCTTGGTATGCAACCATGGTTCAACATATGAAAATTATGTTATATATGACACTAACAGAATGGACGAAAAAGCCCAATGTTCCACTAACTGATGCAAAAAAACATTTGACAAAATTTTGACACTCTTTTGTGGTGAAAACACTCAACAAACTAGGAGTAGAAGGAAACGACTCCAGCATAATAAAAGCCATAAATGAAAATCGCACAGCTAATAGCAAAGTCAATGGTGAGAGACAGAAAGCTTTTCCTGTAATTTCAGCAACAAGATAAGGATGCCTGCTTTAGCCACTACTCAAAATAGCACTAGAAATTCTAACCAGAGCAATTAAACAAGCTAAGGGGAAAAAAAGGACATCCAAATTGGAAAGACTAAAATTATCTCTGTTCAAAGATGCATGATTTTATAAGTACAACACCCTAAAATTCCCCCCAAAACAATAAATAAATGAATTTCACAAAGTAGCAAGGTACAAAATCCACACAAATCCAGTTGTGTTTCTAATGCAAATCAAAACCACAATGAGATATTGCCTCACACCTGTCAGAATAGCTAGTATCAAAAAGATAAGAAATAATAGGCATTGGCGAGGATGTAAAGAAAAGGGAACCCTGCACACTATTGGTGGGAATGTGAATTGGTGCAGCCACTATGGAAAATAGTATGGAGGTTCCCCAGAAAATTAAAAACAGAAATACCATACAATCTAGCAATTCCACTTCTGGGTATTCACCCGAAGAAAATGAAAACACTAATTCAAAAAAGATATATACACCCCTATGTTTATTGCAGTATTATTTATAATAGCCAAGAAATGGAAGCAACCTCAGTCCATTGACTGATGAATGGATAAAGAAAATGTGGTATATATGTAAAATGGAATATTACTCAGCTATAAAAAAGAATGAAATCTTGCCATTTGCAGCAACATGGATGGACCTAGAGGATATTATGCTAAGTGAAATAATTTAGACAGAGAAAGACAAATACCATATAATTTCATTTATATGTGGAGTCTAAAAAACAAAGCAAATGAATGAGCAAAACAGAAACAGACTCATAAATACAGAGCACAAACTGGTGGTTGCCAGAGGGAGGGTGGGTGGGTGAAATAGATGGAAGGGAATTAAGAGGTATAAACTTCTAGTTATAAAATAAGTAAGTCATGGGGAGGTAAACTACAGCATAGGGAATATAGTCAATATTGCAATAATTGTGTATGGTGACAGATTTATCATGCTGGTCATTTACTGATGTATATAAATGTTGAATCACTATGTTGTACAGCTGAAATGAATATAATATTGTATATATATACTATACTTCAATAAAAAATCAGTTGTGTTTATATACACTAACAATGAACAATCCAACAAATAAAACAATTCTATTCACAATAGCATCAAAAAGAATAAAATTCTTAGGAATTAACCTAACCAAGGAGGTGAATGCTGTATGCACTGAAAACCAAAAAGACATTGCTGAGCCTTTTGCGGCCATTGCTGAAGTGCCAGCAGCCAAAATGAAATTCGATCTTTGTGACTTCTTACCAGAGCAAGAATCATAAAAGGCATCTCAATGCACCTTCCCGCATTCTCAGGAAAATTATGTCTTCCCCTTTTTTCAAAGAGCTGAGACAGAAGTACAACGTTTGATCCATGCCCATCTGAAAGGATGATGAAGTACAGGTTGTGTGAGGACACTACAAAGGTCAGCAAATTGGCAAAGTCGTCCAGGTTTACAGAAGGAATATGTCATCTACATTGAACGAGTACAGCAAGAGAAGGCGAATGGCACAACTGTCCATGTGGGCATTCACCCTAGCAAGGTGGGTATCACTAGACCACAAAAGATGGCAAAAAGATCCTTGAATGTAAAGCCAAATCTCGCCAAGTAGGAAAGGAAAAGGGCAAATATAAGGAAGAAACAATTGAGACGATGCAGGAATAAAGTAATCTTATATATGATTGTTCTATCTTTTGGGGGAAAAAGATAAAAAAAATTGCTGAAAGAAGTTAAAGAAGATGTAAATAAATGGAAAGACATTCCATGTTCATGGATTGGAGGACTTATTATTAAAATGT